TCAGAACACCAACGCAATAATGTTGTTGTTGCACCCATATCAGCCCTCATAGTTGGTTTGATACCATCTTTTGGGTATTTCAATGTATTTCATTTGGTTTATATTGATATTGCAAACACCCTTTTATGGTTGGGGTTGTAGAATATTGGGTCGAATTCGGCCAAATTATGCCTATTGAAAGTCGCCTAATCTCTACTCAGCTGAGCTCAGCGTCCTTTAGTTTTGTGATCGGAAAAGCCCTGAACCACTTGGTTTCAAGCGAAACTCCAGCTTGCTTGGATGAACCAATCCATGAATGGATACCTACTGAACCATTTCCCACTTCAGCTTATATAACATACTATACCATATGACAAAATATTATGCAATATTAAAAAATATTATAACCTATTATATAATATTATAACATATTATAAAATATTAAAACATCTGAAAAGTTTGGGTTTGGAAGCAAAAGAAATCCGGTCAATCAGTCCATCAGAAAAAAAAACACATATTTTCAACCCTTAAAAAAGTAGGCAAAAGGTTCAGTAGGTACCATAAACATCCATAAACACTAGTTACCCTACTGAAATTAACCAAACACTTAGCTAATATAAACTGGGGATACCACAGAGTGTGGCTTATGTTTAGCAGTCGAACTAGTTCGATAGACCAATGGTCCTTGGGAAATCTCCCAGCAAAATTGCTACAGTGGAAGTTTCTAGCTGGGAACATATGGAAAACTCATCTAGACATGTAGCTTTTCATGGGCAACATATGGGAAATTCCCTCAAGGTTTATAGCTGGGAAACTCAAAAAAACATCGGGTATTTCCATTGCCATGTTTGATTACCCGAAGTCAGACATCATCTGGTGGTTGAGCCATCTTCTTAATGACTCGATTGGGATCGTCATTCCAGTTGTTGGACAACGAGCAGTGATCAAAACCCTCTGTAGTTTTGTAAAAACTGGTTGGTTTATTGAAATCCGCTGATGGGTTATGATGATCTCCATGATCTCCAAAAATTGTGAAAAATACATTGGTTAGTATAATCCCCCAGAATAACCAACATTCGTTTTGAACACTGCTCAAAATGAACACCCCTCGAAGTAGGTCTTAGAACTCAGGTAACTCAAGCTGAGTGGCTCCGAAAAATAACAGACATTCCCCTCGACAGCCAATTGGGGCAAATTCGCTGCCACGGTGTGCCGGAGGGATATATACATATTAATCATATTATTTATATAATTTATATATGACATATACACCCGAATCATAAACCCAGGGACCCATTCGTTGACTGATTGGTGGTTCACTACCATGGCTTACTGTACATGGATCCAACCACTCAAACTAAAGCCATCCCCGTTTGTGCGAAAATAGGCTACCCGGCTACAGCAGAAATTTGATGTTTGATCATCATTTTCCTTATGAAAACCATTGTCTTTGGGGTACACCACAATTTCTGAGGACACACCCAAATCATATCAAGTCAGTGATAGGTGATCATATCATCTGCCCATATGAAGTGGCTGCACATATTTCATGATGGATTATAACCCCCATTAACTTTGGAGATATTTACCATACACATCCATAAAACCTACTTATTGGAATTATAAATTGCAGTTATGCCGCTTTAAACTTTACCTGTTCTAAGTCAGTGACATAACCCCAGTTAGCGAACCATTTATCAGCATTTATCAGATTTTAGTAAAAGTGGAAAAGGGCCATAACGGTTAATCGTATCAATCAAATCAGCTAGCTATGGGGCACCACCTTCCCAGCCCAGCCCAGCAGCCCTCGGCCTTGGACGATGGGCGTAGGCTTCGTCGACGCGAGGCGACAGCTGCGAACCACAACAGGCGCTGCGATGTGCCAACGTCGAGACAATGGCCGTGGCAAATCCGCCATTTTATGGATGATTTTCGGATTAAAAACCTTATTTACAGGGGATTTTCATGGATTTTCCATTACCAGAGTTGATTTCTGGGTAAGGAGGGGAAATCAACTATAACAATGGGATACAATGGGTGCAATTTATGCCCTGTAGCCTTCCAGTTGCCTCTGACATAGTTGGCCATCAGGTGATTTTCCCTGAGATGATTCTGGGGCTAGGACAGGCTAACATGTAAATTAATGGACCGAAATCAAAAATCAGCTAACTGAGTCAGTCAGCAAACACAGTGATTGCACCAAGCAGTCAGCAAACTCTAATCAACAAAAACGCGTCAGCTCACTAAGCAACAACCACTGACGACTGGATCATAGCTTACCAACAACGCAAAGGTGAACTTGCCGTTTCTGTTTTTATTCACCATGGTTTTCACCAACAGCGTCGAGTTCAACCATCGGATGATCACTTGGGATCCCCGAAATCGACTCTAAGAAATCTTCATCGACAGAGATGAAGTGCCCAGGAAACTATGTCTTGGCTTCTCGGCTTACCCATCTTACAGTTGTTTTTACAGTATCTCCCATGAATAGTCCATTAAATATGATATCCATTAAATATGATATCCATTAAATATGATATCCATCAACTATGATTTTAAATCCATAATCCAACTTCGCCAACTGAGGCAGCACCAGCAGCACATCCAGGCGCAAACTCTTTTCGCCCTGCGTCGGCAGCCGATCGACTCTGGTCAGAGCCAGCCCGAAATTCGGGCTGGGTCTGGTTTCGCCACGGGAGTTTGTAATACTATATAATCATAATTCAGTTGGTTACTGTATATAATGATCATATATTCTTGAATAATTCTGATTATATATAATCATAATTCAGTTGGTTATGTAATGATCATATATTCTTCAATAATTCTGATTATATATAATCACAATTCAGTTGGTTATGTAATGATCATATATTCTTCAATAATTCTGATTATATATAATCATAATTCAGTTGGTTATGTAATGATCATATATTCTTCAATAATTCTGATTATATATAATCATAATTCAGCTGGTTATGTAATGATCATATATTCTTCAATAATTCTGATTATATATAATCATAATTCAGTTGGTTATGTAATGATCATATATTCTTCAATAATTCTGATTATATATAATCTTAATTCAGTTGGTTATGTGATGATCATATATTCTTCAATAATTCTGATTATATATAATCATAATTCAGTTGGTTATGTAATGATCATATATTCTTCAATAATTCTGATTATATATAATCATAATTCAGTTGGTTATGTAATGATCATATATTCTTGAATAATTCTGATTATATGTATATATATATATCTATAATTATTTAATGGTGGTATCATGCCAGTTAGGTTGGTTGTACAATGTTATAATAGTATAACCATTGTGTTGCCATGATATCACCATTGCGGTCGGTTCTCATGATGTATCCAGTTCTTACGGATTAAAACACCCGCGTCGGCATACCAGCTTTGCATAGCTTTGCCAAGCTGTCAATAGGCCATGAAGCCCTGGATATGTATGTATGTATGTATATATATATATATGTAAATGATATTAAATACTATCAAATATACATATTTACACTGGGATTTCCACAATGTAGGATCCACAAACTGGTTGGTTTATAATGGAAACTCCTATTTTCAAATGGATGAGAACTGGGAGTAGCGCCAAAAAAACACCCTGCTGGAGCCATTGGGTGAAAAGGAACTTAAACATCGTTTGACACAGGCCACGCCACGCGAAGTTTATTTATCACTCCAATATCAAGTCCAAAAAAGTGGCTTCTGTGGTAGATATTAATCATGATATCTCATGATCAGATCTAGTTGGATGGCTTAGCATCATATTTCACGAACATCACTGGGAGGACCCTACCGTCAACGATTTCCATGAACATGGGGGAGGAATCTATATTTGATGTATATTTGAGGTGTCACGGAAAAGAGATAATTATGTATAATTACTGGTCAGAATAAAACATCAATATAAACAGTTATAATGATTGGGAAGCATCTGTTGGGACCATTTGTCATACTTATTCATATTCATGATTTTGTCCGGAAATCCATTGAACAAGAGGATCCCCAATGAGAAACCCACACAGACTTTTCCCATCCAGTCAGAAACAGCCAACTCAGTTCCCAAACATGTTCGCTCTGGTCCATTTTTGCGAAGGGGTTTTGAATGGTTTTGAATTGTGCCTTAAAGCCCATCTGTCAAACAATGAAAAGGATAACTTTGGTGGCCAACTGCACACGCGATTGCATCCATGTAGTCATCCAGCTGAACCTTATTAAAAAAAAAAAACATCCCGTAAAGTAAAGATACCATCACCAAAAATGGCCCATAATGAATCCCCAAACTCAGCATCTGCCATGACCCTGAACTTCATTGGTAGACACCAGGGCCCCAGGGTCACCCCACTGGCAACTTGGCTGGACTGGATGGAGCAATTTTCGATCCTCTCCAGAACCGCAGGCGATCGCAGGCGCATCAGTCAGACTGATGGAGACCTACCCTTCACCACCAGAACAAGCTGGCGTTGAAACATGGCGAAGGAATTGGGAACATTTGGGAACTGGCGATGTTTTTTAAGTTGACCAACTGGCGTTCAAACCCCTTTTCAAACGATGCTCTTCATTGGAAATCGCATGAGATCGCTATTTGGGACAGTTTCCCCTACCCATTCCAGTGATCCAGTGGATTGGGGAGTGTTTGATTCTCCATTGTAATTCGTGGCTGAGGAACGCGGTGGATCCTGATTTCGCGGTCCGCACATGGATTTTTTTCGGCAAAAGAGTCAACACAGAATCAGCATTGAAGTTCAATCAGTTAACTCCCCAAGTTCCAATGACATAACCAGTTCAGGGCTGCTATTCAAATTCAGAACTACCTTGAATCCGTGCGGTTCTCAGTCCACATCCGATGAAAATTCAGATCTTGAACTTATGCATACAGGCAACTTTGGCCAAATTTTTCGCGGTCGCAAATTTACATGTACCCTCCACGTAACATGTTTGGCTGTAACATCTCCATGTTGAATGTTTATTTTAATGGTTTTGCGGGTAATCATTGCAAATAAGAACGAAGCACGTGGCGTTTTTTTAACGCTGCCTGAGCAATCTTCCAAAGTTCACACCTCGGTTGCACTGGCTCTTGGATCCGCAACTTTGTGAGTCCAACTACCAAAGACCAATGGTTGGACCAGCCGTTCTTCTTGGTGGCCAAAAAAATCTGACCATTGTAGCAACCCACACCAAAAAAGAATCAACGTGTTTTCAGGATGTCAATAAGTTATAGATGTTGATAGATGAGAGAGAGAGATATATATATAATATAACTTTGAATTTCCAGGTGTCTCATTTTCTTAATTTATTTTGGGGTTGTTTTTAGAGTTTCTATTTTTGTGGTGTTCAAATTGTTCAGTCAGCATTGGTTCTTTGTTACGTGTCCAGAAGCTACCGCAGGTAAAAACCCAAAACATATACCCTTGGTAAACTAACATAGATACGGAAGGACAACCAACCATTTTTAGATTATTTTCCTAGGGAAACCATAGGTTTTCCACATCTACATTTGTTTACCCTATATCCCGAAAAAAACAAGATGCAGCCCACGAACCCGAATGCAGTCATGTAGAGCACTTTTGTGAAACAAATTATTTGAACAGTCTTGTACATTTTTCCCCTGTTACTGTACCGTACCAGTAAACTGTAGACTGTGGAGGGCGAAAAAGTGTGGAGTGCAAAGTGTGGGGTGTAAAGAAAGTGGAGTGTTGAATGACAAATGCATATGTACGGTGTGAAGTGGGAATTGTGGAGTGTGGAATGTAAAGTGTAAGGTGTGCGCTGGAAAGTGTGGAGTGTGGAGTGAAGAGTGTGGAGAGTAAAGTAAAGTGTAAAGTTTAGAGTGTGGAGTGTAAAGTGTAAAGTGTAGAGTGTAGGTGTAAAGCGTAGAGTGTGGAGTGTGGAGTGTAAAGTGAGTGCAGTGTACAATGTGGAGTGTGGAGTGTAGAGGGTGGAGCGTAGAGTGGGGAGTGTAAAGAGTAGACTGTAAAGTGTAGAGTGCAGACCGTGGAGTGTAAAGTGTAGAGTGTAGAGTGTAAAGAGTAGTGTGGGGAGTGTAGAGTGTAAAGTGTGGAGTGTACAGTGTGGAGTGGGGAGTGTACAGTGTAGAGTGTGGAGCGTAGAGTGTGGAGTGGGGAGTGTACAGTGTGGAGTTTAGAGTGTGGAGTGTGTAAAGTGTAGAGTGCAGAGTGTGGAGTGTAAAGTGTAGAGTGTAAAGTGTGGAGTGTAAAGTGTAGAGTGTGGAGCGTGGAGTGTAAAGTGTAGAGTGTAAAGTGCAGAGTGTAAAGTGTGGAGTGTGTAAAGTGTAGAGTGCAGAGTGTGGAGTGTAAAGTGTAGAGTGTGGATTGTAAAGTGTGGAGTGTGGAGTGTAAAGTGTAAAGTGCAGAGTGTGGAGTGTAAAGTGTAAAGTGTGAGTGTAGAGTGTAAAGTGTCAAGTGTTGAGTGTGGAGTGTAAAGTGTACAGGGTGGAGTGTGGAGTGTGGATTGTAAAGTTTGGAATGTAAGTGTAAAGTTTTGAGGGTGGAGTGTAATGTGTAGAGTGCGTAGTGTAGAGTGTAAAGTGTGGAGTGGGGAGTGTACAGTGCAGAGTGTGGAGTGTAGAGCGTGGAGTGTATAGTGTAGTGCAAAGTGTGGAATGTAAAGTGAAGAGTGTGAAGTGTAATGTGTAGAGTGTGGAGTGTAAAGAGTAGTGTGGGGAGTGTAAAGTGTAAAGTGTGGAGTGTAAAGTGTGGAGTGGGGAGTGTACAGTGTGGAGTGTAAAGTGAAAAGTGTAAAGTGTAAAGTGTGGAGTGTAAAGTATAGAGTGTAAAGTGCGGAGTGTGGAGCGTAAAGTGCAGAGTGTAAAGTGCAGAGTGTAGAGTGTGGAGTGTGTAAAGTGTAGAGTACAGAGTGTGGAGTGTAAAGTGTAGAGTGTAAAGTGTGGAGTGTAAAGTGTAGAGTGTGGAGCGTGGAGTGTAAAGTGAAAAGTGTGAAGTGTAGAGTGTAAAGTGTGGAGTGTAAAGTACAGAGTGTAAAGTGTGGAGTGTCATCGCATATCACAATATACCACGCCTGCCTGGACTTGGCGCTTTGTCACCACTTCAGGCAGCCCTGACAATGCAATTCGCACAAAGCACGCAACATGTGCTGCGCCTGCCACGCAGAATAACGATGGAGGTCTCCAAAGTGCTGCGCGCCTGCCACGAAGACTGCGACTCATCATCTTCTGAAAACGACCCATAAGCATTGCGCCTGCCACACTAAATGATTTTCGACACGTTTGCAGACAGATGAGAATGTTACGAAGTGCCACGCCTGCAACGCAAAACCAGGTTACAACTTGCTTTGGCACCGTGAAGCAGGATATGTTTTGCAGCTCCATAGACACGGCGGCAAGGCCACAGGAAAATCAGAGACTCGAGACGAGACATGTTGGAGCATTTCGTGCGAGACTTCTCAAATTTTCACACTTCGTAGCTTCAAAATCGATATTTTCCTACGAGTTTTCTCATGAACCTCAAAATTTGTTACCTAAAAATTGATCATTCGTGCGAGGCTTCTATCATTTTTCAGCACATCTCACAAAATGCCACGCCTGCCAGGACGGAATTTGCACGCTGTCACCACTTGAGGCAGCCCTAACAATGCGATTCGCAAAAAACACCCAACACGACTCCTCTAAAGTGTTGCGCCTGCCTCGCAAAATGGACACGTCCAAAGTGCCGCGCCTGCCACGAAAACGGGAACTCATCTTCTGAAAACGTCGCAAAAGTATTGCGCCTGTCACGCAAAACGACTTTCGACACGTTATGCAACACGTCTGAATGTCATGAAGTGCCACACCTGCCACGCGAAACGAAGCTACGCGACCTGTGAAATCCCAAAAGTGACCACTGTTGCAGAACTCGCTAAAGGCACGGCCATATACCGACCTCGCGCGAACGGTTGCGGACTGTTGCGAACGGTTGCGGATGGTTGCGGACGGTTGCGGACGGTTGCGGACGGTTGCGAACGGTTGCGCAACGTCGAGCGAACACACCCTCAACCCCCAGACCCCGAGAATGACACGAGAGCCCTTGCTACGCATTCGGGAATAACGGCACTGGTATACTCTTCCTCTTCATGGATACCATTCACCCTGCAGTTTTTCCTGCTGGAGGTTTCAACACTTATTTCGAACTAATTACATGGAATCACTCAAACAAACGCATGGAACCCCACATTAGTGTTTCACCTTATTTTTTATTGGTTGCCCTCTGGAATTTAACAGTTCGCTATGGACATCGCCCATTTAGTTCCATGATTTTCCATACAAGGTGAACTCGCCCCAATAAAATTTCGTTGCTTTATCAACATATCATCCCCCAACATCCCCAACTCAAACGTTCACCAAGTTCTCCGCAAGCGTATCACCCATCCAAGATACCACTGGGAGGTGTGAAGTCCTGATCCCCCGGGGTTACGGAGGGACGGTCGCTCGGATTGCCCGCCGTGGGGTTGGGATCCGCATTCCACCGCCTCACGAGGCGCGGAAGGCGGCGAACGTTTGGGGGTCATGATATCAGTGACATCATGATATTGATATCAAGTTTGTATAGTTATGTCATATGATATACGATGATAATTATTATATATATATATGATAAATTATAATATATTGTGAGAGTCCAAGTCTTGATGCAGATTTGAGATCATCATCCAATGCCTATCTCTTGACTGGTTGCCAAGGCACACCACTTCTACAGCGCTTGGATCTAGGCCTTCTTCGGCTAAATAGCCTTGGGGCTTCCCGGATGAAGTCAAGGCGTAGAATGGGGAAGTGATACTGGCTGCTTGAGAACGGGATTCCCTTCTCATGGATTTTGAAATTCGAAACTAAACTCTCATATATATATATCCTATAATCCCCGAACTAAACATCAACCAACAAGGGTTGTGAAATTAGCTAAGTATATAGCTAAGTTAGCCCATGACCCCCAAGAACGCTCCAAACAAATAGACATGTAAAATCAGGACCATAGTGATAAATTTCACTTTGTCTGCATCTTTTTGGAAGTTACAGTACCATAATTTATGGGGCCCCACCGCAAAGTATCTGGTAACGTGGGGGCAGCAACTTCAACTTCAAAAAGCTCGCCATAGTTTCTGGGGAGAGATTTGTGGGATTGTTGGAAGCATAGGATGATAGGCTTCAATGCTCAATAGCGAACTCAAGGTTTTTTTTTCTGGTCATTCACGAAGAGCTGAAGGGTCAAGGGCTCCGGGACCATTCCTACAGGTACACCACCATTAAAAACAAACAAACAATTGCTGACCGTCTTTTTCGGGAAGTCAACAAGTTTTTTTTGCATTGCATATAGTCGTATAAATGTTGGGACCTCGTAAATCCCTTTGAATTTTGAAATGCTGGAAGCATCCATCTGTTCAGTCAAAAACATCGTTAAAATGCCAGACAAAAAACATGTTTTAGGATGATCCCCCGACCCTAACCATTTTTAGGCTGCACGCACATGGCAGACCTGTTCATATCTATAAAAGGATTCTGCCATTCGATTCCCACAATGGGTCATGAAATAATGATTGACAAATTTCTGACGGTTGACCCCGGCTTGTTGCTTGTTAAGATCATCCGCCCAAGTCAACTGCGATATTCCACCCCCACGGCAAAAAACTCAATGTTCACTGCTTAAACCTCCTCCATTTCTGCCGGAAACAAGTCAATGTGTTGGTCAAGATCCTCAAAAAACATCCAGAAATACTTGTTTCTATCCCGATCGCTGGATTACCCTCTGGTAATTTAGCACTTTGCCATGGAAAGCCTCGCAGTTTTAGCAAGTCATCCTTTCTTGTGCCATGTTCCACTTCCCTGTGAAATGGCCAGCTGGTTTTTCTTCCTGGTGCTTCAGGAAACACCATGAAGTCGATCATCTTCCAAGGAACGGTTGATGATGCGGGCGGCCACCGAGGAATCGAACGAGGAGAGCCGTTGGCAGACTTCTTCACCTGGGAGGTTTGGACAATTCACAGAGTTCTTGTCATGCAGTATGCATATAGTATTATAGTATGTATATAATGTATGTATATTTCTATCTTAAATCATAATATATATATATATATATTATTCATATAAAAATGTGTATATATATACATTATATATAAATCATGACATATACATAGCACCTTACATATGTATACATATGTTCATAGAAAACCATATATATACATACACATGTGCATTTATAATATTGGTGTGTATGCGCATACATATATACCCAGAAACTAAGAATGGCCCCAAAACATTCAATATCAAGCTCAAAAAATTCAAAAGAAAAACAAGGCACAATCTGCTCAGGCGATCAAAATCAAAAAGAACAACCTGGCTACGTCATGGTCAACAATACAAGGGACATTGCTAGTTGCATCCACGGCACTTGTGCAAAAACTGTTGTTGTGTCTTTCCACTCGTGGAACAAATACATTGTTCAATTTGCAGTTCCACTGGGGGAAACATTGAAAAAAAAACAATCATCCTGGAATTACAATGGGAAGTTACTCATCTACGTTTTTGTCTTTTTCGTGTCATTGTCTTTTTGCAAAGTTGCCAAGTGCCGCCCAAAGATTTGCATCTGTCAAAAGTTTTTTGACTGAACTTTCTTGACAAACTGCAGTTGGCGTGGCTGACAGAAGAAAAATGGAATCAGTTGGCCAAGGCCTGTCTTTTCCAATGATGTGCTTCCATCAACATGGATTCTCGTTTGATGAGATGTCAAAACTGATTGCATGAAGCCACGCAGTTTATATAGTTCAAAATCAAAGTTTGCGAACAAGTTCAAGCATAGCATTCAAGTCTGTCATGAAGTTAAACCCTAACATTCACAGGCGGACAAAACGTTGACATGAAGCGTGTATCAAGTGCGTGTACGTTTGTCCACCCCCACCCAACCCTACCCAACCCCACCCCACCCGTTTCGCCAACAGCAAAAGCAGTAGCGTTGCGCCTCGGGTTGCGACTGATTTTTCCGGAAAGAAATCAACGAGACGAAGCAACCTATCTAGGGGTTCCTGCATATCCCAATACGCAATTGAAACAGACTAAAGATAGCCCAAGTCATATATAATATGGTCTATACATATATATATATATGTGTTTAAAAGATCAATAGTTTCTGGCCCACCCCTATGAATGTTCTTCTTTTTCTGGACGATAATTCAAAAAGTAGACGTTTTGGTCGATATCTCCAAAAACCGGTCATGAACTTCATGCCCAGTACTGGAACCTCCGATTTTATGTCACTCCCCGACTCTCTGCATTGAGTATAGAAGTGGGTCATGGAAAAAACCTGGAAGTTTCGAATTGTCCCCCACAAAACATGGTGACGCGTGCGCGTACACACAGTGTTCAAACTTGCTACCATTACCATGCTTTGGATCCTCCAAAGACATAATTCTCTGAGAACTGTGCCAACAAAAAAATGCGGAACGCACCATTTTTTTCCATTTTTTGGGGCATGTTGCTAAAAAATGGAGAAAAATAAAATTTGACACAATGTGACCGACTTTTTGGGATTGGCATTTGATCGTTTTTGCAGGCGTTTTTGAAGGTTTCTGAAGGCGTTTGAAGGTTTTTGCAGGAACGACCTTTCGAATAAAACGTGCACATCATCGCTCAAAAATTGACATGCTTTAAGAAATGGTCAGCAAAAGAGTCTGCCAGTGACACTTCAAAGCCGATTGACCAGCTAACATGGCTGGTCACAGTTTAGTGCTTCGATTTTATTCGCTTATGGATGCAGGGTAAGTGGCGGTTGACCCAATCCATTTGGTGCATTGCATCCCACCCTAGAAAATTCGTCTGAAAAAGGGCTGGATGTTTACAGTAACATGGGAATGCAGCATGAAATGAACAAAGGGAAATCGTAGGAAAACTGCAAAAGTAGGCGGTTGGGTCGAGAACTGCGTTCTCTGACTGATATCTCAAAAAGGAGGCAAAAAACCTAGTCATCCAAAAAGAAGTGCTACGATGGAAGACCTAGGTACGTATACTTAACATTCGTATATACTGTGTACTATTCGTACATGCAGAAGATCAGAAGGCAATTGCTACCCTATCAGCTCCAGGATTGCTCCAGCTTCCACCAAGTCGCTGGTCTCTTGACCTTGCAACTCCACCTGATCTTGCCGGATTGCTAGGATCTGCGGTTGAGACTGGAGATCAGCTCATCTACCTAGACCCATTCTGACTTGGCTTTACCAATTTTGGGGCACCCCCAATTTTGGGTACAAGCGGAGGGTCTAGGTAAATGATGTAAATGCTTTCAGCCCTTAAAATTTACAGTAACCGCCCACATCCACCTCATTGAGGTTTCTAGCCTCAAATTGCTTGAGGCTCCGGTTTCAATATTCTCTTAACAACCAATTCTGGGAAGTTACACCAAGTTCATCAATTTCACACGGTCGGAAATGGCAGTGTTTAAGAAACCTGTTGTCCCCAACTCAAGTTAGAATTGGATAATGGGACAAAATACAGGAACACCATACGTTTTGAAGTGGTTTTTTTCTGATAGTTTAATGATCATATTTTTTTGTGGGATAGTAGTTGTGGTGAATTCATCTCATTATACAAGAAATCGCCTGGGAACTCCCATTGCTGTAAAAATCCGAACCGACGGTTTCTTGTTTTCAAAAAATCCGACCCACCAATCCATGTTCGTTGAAGCGGCTCGCAAGAGCAAGCCACATCTAGTTTGCATCTAGTTTCGAAAAACAAAAACCATCCGAACACTGAGAAAAAAAACAAAAACAACCTGAAAATCCTTCAAGAATCCAACAGAAATAGATTTGTTCCACACTGCCATGGTTTTTGGTTTCGGTCTACAGACTCTTCACAAGCGCTGAAACGACTCGTTCTTCAGAGGCCTGGCCACCCCCCAAAAAACGAGCGGCCTGGAAGCAAATGTCGAGCATCCTGGGGGTTGGTTCAGTGGGGCCTTCCGTGCCTAACAATAGCATAATGTTGATCCTAAGCATAGTAATGTTGATGTGAAAAATATATTGAAAAGTCATGACCAACCGATTTTGACCCGAGTCTTGGATAAAACCACAAAAATATCTCGCACTCCAACTCACAAATAGTTGCAACCATGACTGGCCACTTGCTGGCTGACATAATGTGGTGAAATAGAATATCCACACTTAGTGAGTGTCACGCGCCGTTGGATCTAGGTTTTTTTCCATTGCCATGTTTGATTACCGATGGCACTTGGGTCTGAGAGTTGGTCACTTTTTTTTGTCCCCGCAGCGTCCCTATGATCCCCAGCTGAAAGTGGCTAGAGTCTACACCCCAGCTGTGGCCCTCAAACACGAACACAACCAGCCCCTCCAAACTGAAGTACTGACAACCCGCGCAGTGTCTCATGCGGGCAAATCCATACAGTAGATTCAATAGATTCCGAAACCGGGTTTTGGCGATGAGCTTGTTGTGAGGTTGCTATCATGAACTCAAGGATGTTCAAAAAAAATAGAGGCACATGGACCTGCCCCCCATTTATAGTGATCATTGCCATCCACATCCATTCGCTGGTACAAGTTGACAACCCATTAATACAGCAATCGCAAAAACGCATATGACCATCCACTACTGCTGGTCAATAAAAAGCTATCAACTACTGGAAGAAGTAACCTTACTTCGAGTGATCCGAACCCTGACACACTATTTTGACATAGTTTCTGACATATCATCTGGAAGAATATATGGCATATATCTATATACATATACTGTATATATATATATATATTCTGACATTCTACACATTCTATCTGACATTCTTTCTGGCATCTATTCTGACATACTGTGTGGCATATATTCTGACGGCAGTCTACTTGGCGTCTATTCTGACATTCTCATGGCATTCTATCTGCCACATGTTTTGATATTCTATCTGGCAGTCTGTCTGGCATTCTATCTGAAATATATTCTGACATTCTCTTACTGGTGCTTAGTAGGGAATGGATGGGAATGGGGGAATGGGATAATTATTACTAGTGATTATGGATCATTTCCTCATTCCCTGCTAAGCACCAGTAAGTTCTGTCTGGCATTCCCTCTGGCATGTGTTAAGATCCAGGCATGGCCCACATCCGGAGCTCGCGTTAGTCACAACAAGTCGTGATATGACAGAACCACGTCAATTCATTAGAGTTGCTCCAAACACCCCAGGTACAAGGGCCGTAAACCGGGGAACTCTACAATTTGCATGACACTTTTTCAGCCCCAAAAGTGTCTATCGGCCTATCATGGCTCTGAAAATGATGGGTTGGAGCAATCCTGGTTGACAGCTGGATCTCCACTAGGACCCTGCAACCATCCTATCCCCAACGCCCAGACATGACATGAAACTACGAATTTCATGCTAATGATACCTATTGCAAAATATTGAATAGTGATAGCAAAGAATGACACACAACAGAAACACAATGATCATGTTAACTACACAAAATACTGCAATGATTCAAGAAACGTAGTGGTGATTAAAAAACACATAAATAAGAATCAACAGCAAACTTCATTAAAAAAGAAAAACCGCAAATACGAAACATGAAGCTATATAATACTAAATATTAAGATAACAGCACTGAAAACACCCATGATAATACTCGATGCTAATTGTACCATGCAATTGTAATCAAAGACAAATAATTATGATCGCAACTCGGTGGTGGTTTAACCCCTGAAAAGAATCTTCATTGCGGACAATCATTCCAAATAAGGTTAAACACAAGCATACATACAGGAAACCACCAACCAGTCTGTAATTAAGAAATGGAAAGCGCTATACAATTCATAACAACCAAAAAACTGATTTATCATTAGTATGATCACTACTGATGCTTATCTCGAGTGTTCGTTAGTATCCCCATTACTGGTGTTACATGATGTTACTGTTACTTATTACAAAACAGATCATCAAACTGAAACAAATAAATTACAAATAATAACCACAACAGTAACACAAATACTATCTGCTAGTACTCACAATCAATAATGATACTACCAGTACTCATAATATAACTATAGAAGCCCCAAAAAATATAGAACAGTAGCGTCCGCTAAAACTAGCAATAAGCTCTTTCTTTTCAAATCTTGTTGAGGGTTCCTCAAATATTAAACAATATATAATAATAATAATAAAAATAATAGTAACAATAATAATAGTAATAATAACAATAATAGTAGTAATAATAATAGAAACAAATAATAATAATATATATACATAATGGTCAAATAAATAATGGTAGGTGAAAAACAAAAAACACACGCAATCAGTTGGTGAATCCATTACAATCCCACTATAAAATCTCATTAATACCATTAAATCCTATTGTATAATCATACAACACGAATCTAAACAATCTAAAAATAAATAGACATTACCAGATACCCAATTACCAAAGGTCATGCTGAGCTAAACCATCTATCATTAATACAGATTATACAGATGGATCATGTATTTATTAACAGGCTTCAGGTGATAAGGATAACTACCCCTAATCAATCGGGTACTATGTTTGGTGAACTAACCTACTGATTGTTAACCCTTTTAAAATTAATTGAAACCAAATAGTTGCTGAATCATTTAGTACTAGCCTAAGGTAATTTAACATTTTGCTCTGGAAAAATGAAACTTCAACAGATAGCTATTTACCAGAAGTAAGGCTGGGCTCAATCATCTATCATAGATCTCAAAAAATATTAATACTAATGACTGACAATTACAAACACAAATGAAATCACTAGCCCCATTAACCAGTAAAGATCACTAAAGCATCTATAATACTACAATCCCAAACTACATCCCATACAATCACATACAATGCCATATGTATATATATATATATACACGTATATGTACAGGATATAATACCAATCCGATCTATAATCCCATCAGAAAATAGCCTAACCTGATCTTGGAGGTAATCATCCCCATACAAATAGTATATCTTCAATAGTCAATAATCATGAAAAACACATTACACTCTGCTTATTTAAAATAGCCATAGAAAATGGCCCATTTAGTTCGATGGTTTACCCATGAAAAATGGTGATTTTCTAGTTACATAGCTATGTTAAATCACCAGATGGTATCTTCAATAATCATACATAAAAAAAAAAAAAAACATTCCTAATACCATCCAATATCCTATTGCTGCGCCCAGCATCTGTTGCAGCAGGCGGCCTGCAATGCGCACTGAGCGCACCACGCCGCGCGCCGTAGCGATGCAGCCGAAGGCCAGCGTCACGGCTGCCTTCACAGGGAAAAACGGAGACTTCACCGTGGAAAATGGTGATCCAACATGATCTACCCTCTGGTAATTTGTTACATAGCTATTGAAACTGGCCATAGAAATAGTGGATTTTCCCATTCAACATGGTGATTTTCCATAGTTATGTTTGTTTACCAGAGGGTAACCATGGAAAATATAAGGGCTGAACATGAATTCAACCACTTCACCATGGAGAATTCTGGTGATTTTACCATAAGAAAATGGAGCAGTGGTCCAAACCCGACATGTCGTTCCATGAAATCCTAGGTGGCGAAGAACGGGACTCCTAGCTGACGGATCATGACCATCCCAAACTCAAATTGGGTAAAACTCCACCGCTAATCACTAATCATCAAGCAACAGGGGTTGGGAAGATTGAGGATATATCTGAATCCAGATACTACAATATATCATATCATCATGGAAAAATATGAAATCCCTACTTTATTGGTTATTCACGTGGGCACTTCATCAAATCCGATGAACATCCCATTATAATTTATTATATATATACAATAAACATTAAACAAATAACCATATCCATTTAAATAACTATATTATATAATTAAATTAAATAAATATGTATATATATATATAAATCCCATTAAAAAAAAAAAACCTTCAATACCCTTCAATCCATTTTAATCCCACCAACTCGCCATGAATTCCCATGGGAAGCCCTCATCTTTGCCTCGGTGACCTCAGGCCCGGCCAGCTCCGCAATGGCCTTTTTCAGGGCGCGCGAGGCCCGCGAATCGCCTGGGAATGCTGCTGGAAACGCTGCTGAGTTTCACCATGAAGATTGTGCTACTTGACCCGATAGTTTTTTATGGTGGCCTGGCCATACGTTTATGCTGTGACTTACGGACTTACTACTGGTAAAGGGCCATAACTGCCGGAATTCTCCGAGAGTTGATAACTCATCTATAAATTTTAAAGTTTTCTACTCAGGAGTTTTCCTGTGACTCGTTCAATTCCAGAGATCTGAACCCGGTGAGTGGGGGACCCAGAACTGTTCAACTCATCAGAAAGAAGTTTCATAAATCCTCTGGCTGACCAATATGTGAAACCACACACCTAATAAATGGACCAAATCATGATGACTTGCGATTTAGATGAACCAAATCGAGATGAACCAAATTCCAAATGTATCTGCCAAAGTCATCATACCATTGAGACTAGTTGGGTGTCCCTCTGGGATGGGAAGTTCATGCCAACCACATGGTTCCAAGGGGCTCCCTGAAAACTGTCTAGACTAGATAGGTAGATGGAGAGATAGGAGGTAGATAGGTAGTTATCTACGTATATATATATACACACATGTATATACATCCTGCACGAGTATGCAGTGTTTTCTTTTGGGTTGGCAACTTGGTAACTGGTCACCTTTTCTTGCTGGCGCAGGGCAGAAACCAATAGAATCAGACAGTTTTCACAGCATTGTTTTCTGAATGCTTCCAGTTACCTTCGAGATTTGAAACCATTGAACAAAAAAAACCGTATGACTTTTGGGTTTAGTTACCTGTCTGACAGATAATGGAAGATGAGGGCGCGCGTGTCGCAAAAAAAAAACATATTCAACCTTGCAGAGTCCAAAGCGATTTGTTCATAGTATGTTGTTCTTACTTCTGATCAGAGATTTCAGGATTGTAGACGTTACTGAGTTGTACCTCGTTGTGAGATGTTTTTCAGCCATACAAATACCTAAATGATTTTCAAACATGAACATTCACAGTTCCAACGTCGCTTGGTTGAAGCTGGCTGGAACCCATCTGCCACTGATGAAATATCATCAAATTCCGAATAGCAGTCTGGAAGCAAAGGAAAATGGCCCATTGATAAATTATATAACATAATTATGTGTACAGTATACACACATATATATATATATATATAAATACGCATGATGCACTTGTTAGACATGTTTTTTTGTATAGCTGTGGTGAATGAGCAGAAGGGGATAACATGTGAAATCACTAGAGGGTAGGATCATCTCTGACGCGGCACTCTTGAACTTACCTGGATCCGGCACCGATATGGTGACTTGGCCTCGGCTTTTGGTATCCCTTGGAGGCTGCGTTAGATCCTCAGGTGATCCTACTATGCCCAGTATGCTATCACAGTATCCCATATGCTCCATGTAAGGGGAACAGAATACCAACACAACGGGTTCATTTTTTTGGGATGCATGTTGGAACATATTCCAGCACCATGGAACATATGGGTATGTTACTATGAAGATAGAATCAACATGAGTCACCTATCTTTGAGTCCAAAGAGTTTCCGGCTTTGTAACTTTGCTACATGCCCTTTACTTATGCTGAGACCATGCTCATGTCCTGTTTTGCTTTTTCTAGGCAAATTAGCACAGACCTTCAAATCATAAATACATCCGTTCAAGGGTGATATGCCCTGTCTTCATTCACGGAGCTTGGTCAAGGGATCGCTAAACAAATACCCAGAGTTACTGCACAAATGGGTTATGGTGATGAATTATTCTAAAGGGGATCATGTAGCATGATACATTTTGTGATTTATGGTGAAGTGTTTATCCTCTAGTAATCCTTCACCAGATATGCGGGGTCCCATCGCTTGCCTCATGTTTTTACAACTTCTGAATACCAACGTCGATCCCTGGCGTGCTTCCTATTGCCGGAGTTTGTTCAGTGGCTCGTATGGTTTCGTCAACAAAACAGGAGCACAAATCGGGTTCATCATCATTTGCTTTATGCATTTGCTTTAATTTTTTCCTTGCCAATTGTTCATTGACCTGGGGTATAGCCCAACTCCAAAGACCTTTCCCTGTGAACCGAAAGAGAATGCAGTAAACGCACACGGATTTTTTGTTCACGGGATTGTCCCAGCAGTGGATTGGGTGGATTTTCGGCTCAAAATCCAGCCCAACTCTTGGTGAATCTCCTGTACCAACAAAAATCACCGGTTCAGAACTCTCCCAAAAAGTTTCAATCTCCATATATATATATACCCATATATCCAACAACTCCAAGAATTTCACAACCAAAACCAGCCCAGCCCGAACTTTCGACGCACCGCACCGTTGGCCACAAAGATGGCGGCCAATGCTGGAGCCAGGCCCAAACCCACTCCCAACGCGATGCCAAGCGCGCCTTCAACGGAAACCATGATTTTTCTTAACTACAATTTGAGGCCCCCGAACGATAGCTAAGTTGGTGAACATAATTCCAATACCTATGGATAAATAATACGTAAATAGCTATAGTATTCATGGGGGTTATAAACCAAGTGATCATTGGGGGCCCGCATTGTATGAAATATTTTGAAATATTATACGGTCAATGGATTGGTTTAATAGGAAAAATTGAAATTGGAAAGACACAGATTTCATGAGAAAATCGATGGGTTTCCGGTTAAGAACCCTTGAAATAGTTGATTTACCCATGAACAAATGGTGATTTTCCATCGTTTTTTTGTATGTTTACCAGAGCGTGATGGGGGTAAAACAATGCCATAAACACCCATAAACCACCCATGACTCGGAATGGTCAACATACCACCTATAAACATGCTGATGACTGGGGGATTGTTTATGGCATCGTTTTACCCACATTATCTGAAATATAGGCGGAGTTCTGGTTTCCAACATTTTCCGGATATAAATCAATCCAATGATAAAAAAACATGTATAGTGTTGTTGTTCTTGTTGTTGTTGTTGTCGTTGTTGTTGTTTTGTTGTTTTGTTTTTTTTTTTAATATATACTGGTCATCTAAATATATTCACAAAATACACATATGTATATATATATACATTTATATATATATATACATATATATATATATACATATACATAAATAAATTAAAATACATCTATATTTAAATATACATTTATATACATATATATATATATACATATATATATACAAATATGTATTTATATGCAAACATATGTACGTATATATATATATACACATAAATATGCACACATATTTCTATTTACACATATATATATTTATATATATATATATATGTACATATATAAATATATATCTACACATATATATATATATATATACACGGGAAATTTAAAGTATGTCCTAAGCCAAATAATTTCGGCCATTTGGGAATGATTTCCTCAACCATCATGCATGATGAGGTCAAATAGGATCACACATCATATGTACGCTATAGATCCAAATCCCTCCTTAGATTCTACTTGACCCCTATATAATTTAACTAACCACAAACGGGGTGTAACATGTAACCAATAAAAATAAAACAATGGAACTATCATCGAAAAAGTGCAAATTGCAAATGATTCTGGAATATGTCGATAACAATGGATGGATGCGGTTTAACATGATCATTTTTTTAGGGCCTTGTAAGGTTTTAAACGTGGGAATATCATCCAGAAATTGTGGTTGGTTGATGATAGTGACGGAATATGATGGATTACCCAGTGTTAAAACAAACAAGCTATATCCAACTTTTATACTATATATCTGGGAATGGGAGGTCTACAAGGTTCTGCCCAAGTTTGTCACTAATTTGGTTCAGTCATATCAAACACTACCTAATAGGGGTCTGAAACAAACTGAAAAACACAACCTTGTGTGTACTGTACAATGTCATGTCACACGCTAGCTCGGAAAACGAGTCCAACAATCATCAGAAATCTTCACCTGAATTAGAGCACGCGCGCGTAGGCGCCCCTTATAACTCGCAGACACCAATGCCAGAACCCTCAATTTGCAGATGGTTGTGAGTCCATCATTTATGGTAAAATTGGGGATGGTTTATTCTTACGTTTATCACAAAGGTACTATATATACACATATATATATGTATGTATATATAAACATATCATGATTGTAAGCCCTCAAGCGTGGGATTTCTTGGAAATTCTAGAGGGAAACCATGTGTGTTTTCCCTGAAAAATTGGGGTTTGCTGCAAATTGCCCCTTCAACCAACAGGTGATGTGTGTGTGTGTGCGTGTGTTTTCCATCGCCAACTTCACCAGAAATGGATGGTACGAAGCATCTAGAAATTGGAGGTTGATCCTTGTGTTTACCACATGATATACAAATACATGTTCATATGCATGTGTATATATAGATAGTTGGTAGGCTTACACACACACACAAGGAATCGTTCTGTCAACATATTTTTGTGAGAGATTGTCGGCTACTTCGAGGGTCAAGGTATGATATAGCTACATACCGTAGAGTATATATCTACACACTAGTTATATGACAACATATGCGGGTTCCCAAAGCTGGTGGAATCCCCAAATCATCCAAACTTGGACCATTTCAGTATTGAAACCCATGGGTTTGGGAGTCCCCCATTTTAAGTCCATATGCAACCAAAGATAAACTGGTACAGTATATATCGTCTCTTCTCAGCACTTGCTCGCCACGACAAACTCGCGAATTTACTATGGATGGGAATCTGCAGGTGGGACCCCCCCGGTGATGTCTGTTGGTTTATAATTTGACTAGTTCGATAGATCTACCATAAACTCTATTGAGCTATGTTCACCAACTTAGCACACTAAATCCCACTCAATCCGTGTCAATCACCATTGTTTCTGGTAAAATTCATGTTTTTACAGCGGTTCCGTTCACTGGGGCATCGCCCTTAACAAGGACCCTCAACACATGTGTTTTCTTTCAACCAACAAAAACATCAGGGACAAAGAAAAACACCATAGTGAATGAAACTCCCAAGATTTCATACAACTTAGACAATGCCTCAGAAAAAGAAAATTACATATTACATACTAATGTATACATATATTTAGCGTGCATACATAAATACATGTATACATATATAATATATAATATATATATATATAAATATAAATATATATATATATATACATACACGTATGTATATATATATATATATTCAGGTTGTGGTTGCGTCATGACCTGATGTTTCTCCCGGCAACGGCTGCAAAAATATACCAACCATTCACCAAACAGTCATCTCCCAACGCTTTTTTTTTGGGAAAAAACCTGACCTCCTCAATCACATGAATATTCTTAAATCATCTTAACTCGAAGTTCTGTATGGTTGAATCCCTATTCTATTTGGAGATATCACCCACTACTTTAGGAACAAAAAAAAAACTCATGATTGGATTGCAGTTGTATTGGAATACAAACATCTACTTCTGTCACTTGGACAGTCAAGGAACTACAAGCTGGTGCCCCTGCTCCAGTAGGTGGTGTTATAAATCTTATTAACTGGTATAATTACAACAAACCCTAGAGTCCGATTAGCAGGTATATGGAATGATACGGAGTTGTATGGAAGTGTAATCCAAATCAGCCATCGGAGGCCCCAAGTAGTCCTGCAAGGCTGGTCCCCACAGCGCTAGCGACGACTGCATCCTGCCACCGAAACGACGCATGGGTTAAAGGCGGCGAAACAAATCATTGTTAAACGAAACTTCAGTGGATGTTCATTGGGATATTATGGAGCAGATTTTCGGGGATCGAAAATTAGGAACTGCGCCTCCCTTTTCTTGACTAGCAGCAGCAGATTGGTAGCAAAAAAAATAAAACAAGTTCAATGCAACCCCCATCCCAGAATGTGCAAACAGACAACAAAGAAAAACAAAACATTGTCAATTTTGGGGAAAACGAGAACCAACCCTCTTAAGTTTTCGGGAACAAATCAACACATAATTGGCAGGTGCACCAACTGGGACGGGAGCGGCTGGCCAACCTGAATAATTGTGTAGCCGAAATTTTGGTTCATTTCCTAATTACAGAGGCCTGAAGATAAGGAAATGCACCTCCCTTTTCTTGACTAGCAGCAGCAGATCGGTAGCAAAAAGAATAAAACGAGTTCAATGTAACCCCCATCCCAGAAGGTGCAAACAGACAACAAAGAAAAAGGAAACACTGACACAAGCACTCGTCATGCCAACCTGAATGATCTTGTAGCCCAAAAAATTGGTTCATGTCCTATTTACAGAGGCCTGAAGATATGGATTGAGATGCGGTTTTCATTTGTTTGGGTCAGAATGGGATATACAGCCCTCATGTTCCAACAACCTATCAGGGAACAAACCCTAAAATCATTGGCCAGATCACCCAGCCGTGATCTGACTCAGAGGTAACTGGAAGCCTAGGAGTTGTCAATCCCTGAAATGGAGTTGTAGTGAGAACATGAACCACAAGAAACAGGATATTCACTACGGTAACAAACATTTGGTAACAAATAGGTGGCTAGACTCTGCATCCCACAAGATATACCTTCTGGTTATTGAGCATAGCTATGGACAATGGCCCATTTACAGACGATCTATGATAAAGATCTACCTATTAACAATGGTTATGTTTCATAGCTACGTCAAATAACCAAAGGGTAAGTAAAATACAAGTCATTCTCAGTTCGACAACAAAATAGATTCGAAACCCGCCACAATGGGTGATTTTTTCACAGGATGCAAGGATTGGAAATTAACATTCGCCCCACATGGACTGAAGCCTCATTTTCCCATTGTTCAATGGCCATGGGGGTGATCCCATGGTCATCTTCCCATTTCTGGGGCCAGGAATCCCCAAAATATGTTCCTTAACAGAGGGACTGTCCCAACTGTGGACAGGACACACTGATTGGACATAAAATCACCACGACGTTCCTTCAAGATGTTTCAATATTGAATGGGTGCTAGGATGCATAAAATCAACTTCAGTGGTTTCATGTTGGGCTCTCCAATTCCTAGTTCAAGAACCGGTGACATGTAGTTTTACAGTACCCTAATAAAGAGTCATTCTACGGCAGGAAACTTCTGCTTTGACAATGACAACTCAACATGGACAGAACTCGTTAAATTCATGCATCTAATTATGTATACTGTATATGTAATTTATGCATACATATACATATATATATAGTTGTATATTATATATATATGTATGTGAGAAACATATATCCATCCTATCTGATTTGTGTATATATATATACATATATATATATGTTCATGGCCAACCCCCTGCTTTCTGTTCGATTTCCGCATTGGTAGACTCCCAACCCATTGCAAATCTCTGTCCGGCGTTGGTTTGGGAGGCAGTTTTGGTCTGGGCCGTCTCACCTCGTGGTGTAACGCATTGCCATGGGGTCAAATTTGGTGGGATAAAATGGGATGTATACCTAGACCCTCGAAGTACCTCTAAACATGCTGTTTTACCTCATAATGTTGTATAGTACTTTTACCATTTTTTGGGGTGTTTGGAAGGTCTACAGAGTGGGACCCCCTAGATAGTTGGCTTGTAGTTCCAATAAGTATGGTTTTTGATGCTTATAACTATAGTATGTATATCATAGTATACTATAGTTAATGGGGGCGCATGTTAGGTACAACTAACCAATAACCAGTGGATTTGAATGGGACATAAACAATCGGCTTCTCACCCCTGAACATGTGAGCTTACCAAGACTTTCTCTAAATTGAACGACGAAAACGGAGATGTAAACCATCATTTCTATAGGATTTTGATTGGATCTTAATGGGATGTGATGGGATATAAACCAACTACAGTAATACCAATTATAATATGTATATATATATATATAAGACACATATGTATATATATATATTATGGAGTGTATGAGTGTTATATTGTATTCACTGGGTTTGATTCAGGTCAAATCTGCAGGAATGAGGGACAGCCTGCACATGTTCCATTTAATTCTCGGAGACTGGTGGCTGTAACACCTTCCAATAATATTACATAGTGCATATGGATCATCCCGTGTATATATATAAAAATATAATTATACATATATATATATATAGTTATATATATATATATATACATATATATATACATACACATATATGTATATATATATATACGTATATATATACACATATATATATACATCCACATGCCCAAAAATAATTTACAGTATATTATAAACCACCTGAAACAATTTAGCTGGATAATTTCAATCCTTGGGAAAATAAACACATGTAAACCATGTCAAACATCTGCATAAATAGTCGAACATCATTCCGCGACCACCCGTGACCATCATCATGGGCGAAGGATGGGAGGCATGAAAAAAATGCTGAGGGGGCCCGGAATAGTCTCCAAGGTAAGTGTAGAAAAACAACTGGATACACTGGTCCAGCAGTCTACAATTCTCGAGCGTTCCACTTAAGTCTAAGATAGGTAACCGTTGGTTGATTTTACCTGAGCTGATTTTGAGTTTACCTGGGATGATTTTGAGGTTACCAATCTGACAGGTTGCAACGTCTGGTGTTTTTTGGCACAGGGCGTGCCAAGTCTGGTGTTTCCTCCGGTATGAGTTTACCATCCCCCAGGGTTTATAAAATTGGGTATAGACCCGTATTTGGGATGATGCAACATGATCTCATATCACACTTATCTAAGTTACAGAAATTTAAGAGAGTTTGGGGAAAAATTGCCCGATTTGGATCTCAAAGCTGCAACTTTTTTCAGGTCACCGATGTCGGCGAATCCCCTTCTCCACAGGTTTTCAAAGTCCTGTGCAGCCAAAGTCAGATTTTGCATGATTTTGCTGCCAAGACACGCGTGTGGTTGAGGTGGTACTGGAAGTTGTGGAAGATGTTGTGCTTGAAGATGTTGTGCTTGAAGATGTTGTGGTTGAAGATGCTGTGGTTGAAGATGTTGTGCTTGAAGATGTTGTGCTTGAAGATGTAGTGCTTGAAGATGAACTCGTTGTGGAGCTGCTGGAGCTGGTGGTGGAGCTGCTGGTTGTCGAGGATGTGGATGATGATGTGCTACTCGATGTAGTAGTCGTTGTAGTACCTGTTTCGACAACGAAACTGTTGCCATAGGAATGCTTGGATGCACGGACACAAAGACTGATCACCGGATACATGTAGAAATATGAAATCTATAGCCAATATATAGCACAAAGTGTTAGACCAATACTACGAGGTTTTGTCCCCCCGTTCTAGTAATAATGTTGATAATAAGTTGGTTTGTAGCCCCAGTGAACTAGTTCAATATATCATGACATACGAGGTATCTACCATAAACATCCATAAACGCTGTTTGTTGGAGTTATATTTTATAATCCAACTTAGCATCCACTTAAATTGGGACAGCATCTTTTAGAGATCCATTGATCCAGAATTGTAAGCCCTGCTGACATGATCCTTTAAGATTCCCCGAATAATGTTTATCCATATGCCGCTTCCTCATTCCTCACAGTTAAGTGGCTATTGAACCGACTTTATCTAGGTCAAGGTTAAACAGACATAGAATTAGACTAGTTTGTGATATTGTGTGTTTATCTTGATGTCATCCTCAAACTTTGAGATTTTTACAAACATCCCAACGAAGATACACCCTTTCCAGGGCGAATCCGTCACTTGGATCAACTCCCGAGGATCAGCAGTGAAATCATAATTGTTTCTGAGCTGGATCACGACACCTTCTCAAGAACAGTGAAGATCATTGAAGATCATCTTTCCTCTCAAAAAATGTTCTGATAAACTGCACATGCATTTTAGCAGCACGAGATGGTCTTCCCCTCTTGTCTGGAAACCTCAACATTGCCATAAAACCAGGATCTAGAAATCACGCGGATTTCAACAAACGCCTGGAAAACTTGGGAAATGGCAGAACTTAAGAAGTTAATTGTGGACTTTTCATGACCTTTCCGTGAGTTCCGTTCATCACTGAGACTCTTGGCCGCAATGAAAAGTCACTAGCGCAGAGTAACGATATATGTCTGCAAGTGCGTACATGAAACTTCTCTGGCGTAGAGGTACGACATGTGTACACTTGATCAAAATTCTCTAGCATGGATTGTAAAATTTGTGCAAGTAGAGAATAAAATTCATCGATAGGTAGTAGACTTACAATATGTGTACAAGTGCATTAATGAAAAATCTCTGTGGCAGAGTTTAAACTATCTACGCAACAACAGCCCAACGATATCACGCACCCACCCCACCCCCCAAAAAGCACTCACCCCCATGCCACCCAACCTCCAAACCCACCCCTGGGGTTCGCATATGATGTGTGTGTGATCAATTTAACCTCATCTCGAGAACCAAACGGACCCAGAGGCTTATATAAAATAATTCTATATAAAGTCCGTTTCATCCATTGCTTCCAAGCATTCTTCATGGTTTATCCATGTACTTTCACTATAATATATATATATATACAGTATATATAGTTATATAAGCATGACATGCACCTGTCGATATAATCCCATATACAAATATCATCTAATATAGCCTTTAAATGCCAATGACATCCATTTGTTTTTCTCTGAACAGCAGGTCATCAGCATCCCCGTCCTGGGGTACGGATCCAAGACGTTTCTGAAAGGAGGGAAGAAAAAAGGCGACTTCATCATCCCAGAAACAAACATACCAAAACACCCCTGATCTCAAACAGTCAAAATATGAAAGCACAATCGAAGAGCAAAATGTCTTTTCTCCAAGTCCCTTTCAGGATCTCAAGGAGAGCCCTGCAAAAAAAAAACAATATATTTGGTGAAATGAGAATAACTCACTAATCTGAAAGGTCACCTGCTGATCTGTAGCCACACGTGGAATATCTGATTCTGGGGTTTCGACCACAGCCAAATGCATTTCGCCCACGTCTTTTTGAGTTTCTTGTCAACTTGCTAGCCCCAAGGATTTTAAGGTGATACCTCCGCAAGAACGCAGACCTGCGTTGCCCTCGCGACGTGCAAGCGATCTTTTGTTCGCCTCCCAACCCCCACGAAGCTTCAACGTGATACAGTTTCCAAAACTGCCGCAACATAACGGGCAATGAAAAGCGTGACAAAAAAAACACATTTAGGTGTAAAACACCAAAGCTAAATAGCAGCACGTTTCCTGAAATAAGGCAATTTTGGTGATTTTGGTGAATTTATAGTGGCGTCGCGGTGAGGGGTCTACAATTCATCCAGAACATATAAATACACATTTATATATATATATATGTATACATCTATCTATCTATCCATCCATCCATCCATCCATCCATCTATCTATCTATCTATCTATCTATGTATACGCAACCAGCCTGAGACATGTTCGAAGCATCCGATGGCGTAAAAAAACGGGGAGGGGCTTCCCTCTGCCATATCTGCAGCCAAACTGCGGCTTGTTGAGGTGCTGGAGGTGCCACCTGCAGCTTAAGGTAATCAGGTCGTTTTCCGGAAATCTTACCCTCTGGTAATGACTAACATAGCTACTGAAAATGGCCATTTATAGTTTCTAGTTGATTTTCCAATTAAAAATTGTGATTTTCCATAGTTATGTTAGTTAACCAGAGGGTAATGATAGGGAAAAATGAGGCTTTAACCCACCAAATTGAGGCTTGTTCCCTGATTTGTCCTGTAATTGTGACACAGAAACCATAAATGTGACAAGAAATCATAGCGGACTTAAGTCTACGCCGTCCAGAGGGGGCGAATCGACCGAAGGGTGAAGCCATCCCATGGCTATAGCTAGACAATTCATGAAAATCGTATATCAATGGGCTTATCCAAGACATTCCAAGACTATGCTTCATTGTCGAATGTAATTCGTATTTCTCCCAGGGGATCACAAGTAGAAGTTAATAACGTCTTGATCAACTTCTGACTTATGACCTCCGACCGAAACATATTTGGGCTTCAAATGTATGCACATGTACGTTATCTGGTCGGCGGTTTCAATCGCACGACTATAGTGGTCAGTCGGTATCACCACATAGTCGTTACTGATGGGACATGAAAACACCATCGAAAACCACCTCAGATGCTCCATGGTGCTGGAATATCTACCTACATAAAGACCCCAAACATGACCCTAGATAAACAGGAAAATATTCCAGCACCATGGTTCGCAGCTGGGTTTAGGTTTTTTGGTTGGCTATGTACCCTCTGGTAAACTAACACAACTATGGAAAATCACCATTTTATAGCTCGGAAAATCAACTATTTAAATGGCCATTTTCAAAAGCTATGTTAAATTACCAGAGGGTATCACATTTTATCACCTGGATGGTGAAAAATCCTTCGGAATATGAGCCCAAAAGGAAGACGGCGATCATTGTCAAATGTGGCTGATTCCAGGTGTGGTTCACCCATCCTCCAACCCGGGGGTTTAAATGGCTTTACTATGAGAATATATATATTATTATTATTATTATCATTATTATTATTATTCTTATTATTATTATATATATATTATTATTATTATATTTATATATTAATATATATATAATATATAATATTAATATATATATATATGTATTATAATATATATATATATTATAATATATATAAGATAAATCTGATTGCTGTAGTTATCATTATTTCTCTCCATGATCAATCATGATCACATATCATAACCCCACGCTTTTCCTCTCTGTCCCCAAGGCGCTGATCCACCACCAAGCCACATGTGTCACAGGTCCATCCGGTATCGGGCTCGTCCTCGCAACCAGGACAGTCCTGGATGGCGTCACGCGGGCTCCTTTTTTTGCGTCCTGAATAAAGGGAGATCTCTGTCATGATCAGGTTCATCTATATATATATATATATTATGTATTATATATTCTATATAATAATATATATATTATTATTATATTTTAAATTACACATATTACATATATATATATTTATATATCACTGACATCCTATTGGATATTTTGGATATTGTTGTAGTTATTGACAATCACCATGTCGGAGTCCGGGGTGCCATCATTTTCACGCGCTTTGAGAGAAGGCTTTAGGCTATATCCTATTATATATTATATATATATATCTATCTGTCTATCTATGTATGATGTTATGACTTCACGTTCATCTAAGACATGATGGCAATAATTATCTCATCTATAGATCTTATAGTTCATCTACTACTGGTCATGTTATCATCGTAGTCTGATCATCGCAGTCAACAGGTATCAGATTGGAAACCTCCGACAAAGACACGGAAGTCCCCCGACAATTTTGCCAACTCGAGGTCCACATTCCACATTCGGCGCCACGAAATAAGCAAAGCCCATTCCAGGCGTGTTGAACAACTATGCCCAGATGCTCCATGGTGCTAAAATATTTGCCTATATTTATCCAAAACAATGGCCCAAATGTGGGTATATATTCCAGCACCATGGAGTTGAAACGATGAATCAACCATGGGAAAAAGAAACAGCGAACAATGTCGCCGAGCTTCACAGAAGTCGTCATTCTTAAAGTGGATCGGGATTTGGCATGTAGCATCGCACCTGAAATATAACCAAAAAACGAGTCTGAAACAAGCAGAAGCTTGGCAGAAGCCTCCTGTAAAACATGGGCAATGGACAATCCCCAATTGATAGTCCATATATATATATATATATATATACTGGTTGGTGGTTTTAACCACCTTGAAAAATATGAAAGTCAATGGGAAGGATTATCCCATATATTATGGAAAATAAAAGATGTTTGAAACCACCAGCCATTATGTATATACATACATACATACATGCATACATACATACATACATACATAAATACATACATACATACATGCATACATACATACATACAACCATACATACATACATACATACATACATATGTTCACATTAAACTCCATGTTGGATAACCAAAGGGTCATGGAATTGTCCCTCACTTGTAGATACTTCCGAAAGGATTAAAAAAGGGAGCTGATCACCTGATTTTCAGTGAGAAAACTCCGTATGGTTTTATGCTTCACCGGCATCATTTGCTCCTAACTGGACAAATCCCACTCCCACTTGCCCTTATCACGGGGGTTCCTGAGGTGAACCACCCAAGCACCCAAGTTTCTGTCGCAGGCACGTGAAGACAAAGTCCTCCCCGGGGGTGGGTGTCTCGGGTTTAATCGTCAACCTGGGCGCATCATCGGTGCAGGATCGCCACTAGGGGAAACAATGGGTTTTCACCGGGCGTTTCCTGAGCATCTTCCGTTGAAACCAGAGATGTTTTCGGAATCTCCAAGATATCGAAGGTCCTTCATCTTCGGGTTTCTTGTGTCATCCCTTGTCTTAAGAATACAACCTACAGATTAAACTATACATCCAAGAAATAAACCACAAACATCGATTCACTGTATTCCATTGTTTTGTGGCCACCAGCCAAACATTTTTTCACCGTTCCAAGGATTCCAAGGAGCAAAGTGACACGAAAGATCACGTCCTTGGGTCTGGTCTTCTTCCTGAAAATGATGGTATCCTTCTTGAAATTTATGCTCCTCGCGTGACTGCGCCGGCGAGGTGGTTGACAACACTGGATGGTTCAAATCTCACTAGTTGAATCCCGTTACCTGTATTGACAATATAATTAATTATCTACAACTTTGATGGAGTCGAATCGCGATCAATTTCATGATAGCAACTAACCATTCACAAAACTGAGATGAGGCATTTGCCCTATTTTCCCAAATATAAATATAAAGACATAATATTATTATTACATATATTTATATATTATTATATTATTAAATAAATATTATTACATATATATATATATTATTATTATTACATATAATATATATAGATATATAGATAGTATTATATATATACATATTATTACATATATATATATATATTATTATTATATATTATATATATATTATTACATATATATTTTTTTTTCCCTCCCATGCCCTGAAGCGTCTTCGCTGCGACGGAGCCGACCGAATTCGGTGGCCAGAAAAAATGGCACTTAGCCATCATGGCCAATGTGGCCGTCCAAATGGTTGTCACACATCTCCATACACTTGGTGACAAACTCAGATGGAGGCTCGGTATCGCTGCACTCAATGCTAGCGAATTCTGTACAAAAACTCAATGCAATAGCACGGCATAAAGCCGGTGGATATTCTTTGAGTGGGGCGGTCTTGTACTGCCCTGAAGAATCTTTGCCGATAGATGCTCCTTGCGGCAGATGCGGTGTGAGTCTGCTGCAATGTAGATTCTTTTCCAGGGTTGGTAAGCCAAGGACTAAGAACGTCGTAGGCTTCGCAGTTGGAGCTCCAAACAATCCTTGGGAAAGAGAAACCAAACGCATGTTAGGCAAATTAAGGATCATTCGCAAGATAGGCAAACGCCAAATGCTAACCAACTCCGGGTCTTCTGGGTCTTTTGGATGCTCAAGGAGTCCAGCACCTGCACACATTGCCAGGGCTGTAAGGCATTCAAAAGCAAACCCAAGGAGAAGTGATCCAATCAAGACCTGCCGTAATTCCCCAAGTCGCAGGGAGGCAAGTCCCCAAGGTTCTGTGGGCGTACGTACGACCCGCGGTCCAGCATGGCCTGAAGTCGGGATATTGCGTGCTTTACTCCAAGTGTTACAAGGAGGGCCCGCAATGAACCCAGCGACATGTCCATTAGCAATATGAAAAAGCCAATAGTCACGTGTTTCTGGGCGAGCAATGTCACCATAGACAGAATCAATGATGATATCCACCGAAGCTGTCATGATGATATGGTCAGGATGGAGTTTGGCAATCTCCAGCATGTACCACTCAATGTCGCCACGTCGACGACGGCCAGCATAAGCGTGTAGCACAATTTTGTGTTTACCAAAAACTCTTGGCACCTTTCCAGAGGTTTCCCAGGCAAATTGGGGATTCACTGCGTGTTCAGCAAACCACTCTTCCCATTGGTCAAGGCGCACCTGTGACAGGGAATCAGTCTGAGTACGACTCTTCAGGAAAGGCCATGAGTCTGGCTGCATAAGATAACTAATGCATGAAACAACTTGTGCAAATGGCACTTGAAGTGGTTCAGCATCTGCATGTGTGAATGTCTCCAAAAAATGCACCAAGGTGGCATGACACACTGTCCAACTGATGGGCTGTGCGCAGATGAAAGCGGCAAGTTTTGACTGTAAATCAATCCCTCCCGGTCCATCATAGTCAACCAAGTACAAATAAATGGATTCAAACATCTGCACATCAAATGTCGCAAAGTCGTTTCTTGTGTTCGCAGGAAATTTCGGTCCATGTCCTTCTTGAAAGGGCAAGGTGCCATCAATCTGTTCTGACAGGGTCTGATCAACTCTGGACCCAGTTCCCGGCATAACAGAGCAACAAATCCTACGTCCAATGAGACTCTGGCGGCATGTGTGGGCATGGCGAAGGTGCGCCAAAACTTTCGCGCGAGTGTGGTACTCACGGAGGCAATGTGGGCAGGCTGTGCCATCAAACAAGCGTCGTGCAGAGGCTTGGTAGCCATGCCTTTTGAACATGTGTGCGCTCTCACCAGCCTTAGTGGCATGCGCAGTGCCACAACTCATGCAACCAAAAGTATCAATATTGGGGTGAGCAGGCACATCTTCATGCGGCAGTTGGGACACCCAACCATGTTGATACAATAATGTAGCAACTCGTTTGTGAAGTTGAACAGCAACTGCTTGATTTTCACGCTGCAAGCAAGCATGTGCGAGCCCCTTTTTGATAAGCTTTTTCCAGTATCCTTTGTGGTGGATCAAGATATCTTGCCACACAGCAAAATGGGAGACCGGATCTGGCAAGTTCGTATTGTTTTTGAGCTGTGCCCACAACCATTGGAAGTCATCTTCCAACAGGGCAGTCCATTGGTGGTCTTCAACAAGAAGGCCCCAGTGTGAGGCGTTTTGGCAGTTGAAAAGGGTACCAAAATATCGAAGCCTGCATCCCCTCAAAAGCTCAGTAGGTGATGGAAGACCCGTTTCCACAAGTACTGCTTCATCAGAAAGATGCATCGCGTGTTGATGACCGAGGAGTCTTTTGTATAATTTAATGATTCCAGCATGAATCTGTGCACGGATCTGTTGTGTCTCAAACGTCCAAGACTCAAAACCGTACATAAGTTTGCTGAGAACAAGCGTACAAAAAATTTCCTTTCGTTTGCTCCACGACAAACTGAGATTGCGATACAATACACGTCTGTGTTGTGAAAAGGCCTGATGCGCAATTCCCAGTCGTCGAGTGATTTCAGCTCTCGTCACCACTCGATGGTGGAGGACACCTCCAAGGTGCAGGTATCTACTAACAACTGTCACGTGATGGGTGGCATCTTCACATACAACTGGAAAACCTTGTGCATGAGAATAGAACTGTCGACGAAATTGTCGGGAGCCCTGACCTCGGAAACAGAACATGATTTCTGTCTTGCCTTTGCGAAGGTTGGGCTGCATGTGCATTGACTTGCACATGTCAATCAACAGGCTCAAGGCAAAGCCAGTCTTTTCAACAAGTGCATCATTAGAAGGTGCACACAAGCACACGCAAAGATCATCCATCCACGTTGGCCCGAGCAAAGCAATTTGCGGATGAACTGTGGGGTCTTGTGTGAAAAGTGATGGTCGTGCAATATCCGGAATGAAGCTAAGCAATCCTGCATTCACCAAACGCTGCTCGTAGGTTTTTAGGAGCTTAGCCCACAAGAGACCAAAAACAACATCAGCATAACTATCTCCCGGTCGGGAGCCTTGCTCTGTGCGTACAAGATCAGCTTGGTCACCAATGGTAAACCATGTGTCAGTATGCAGCGCCTGCATAAAGCGTCGCACATGTTCAGGTGCACCTGCTTCTTGGAGTGCGGATGGCTGACTGAGTTGCTGATGAAATTGGTGTAAGGTCTCATCATCATAACCAAGAGCATAGGCCATGGATGCAATGTGTTCATCACTGACATCACCACCAAGAGCTAGTGGCCGAACAACTCGATAGAACGCTTCCGTTAAATCAAGAAAGATCATTGAGGTTGAACAATGCAATCGTTGTTGCCATCTCATGAATGCTCTAGCCATGTGAAGAGGAACCCCAACCGGCATAAACGGTCTACCCCCAAGCTGTTGAGACTGCATATAGCACGTATACAAGCTGTGGTGCTTCTGCCGCAACGCCCTATGGATGGTTTTCCCAAAATGGCTAGAAACAAGCAATGATCGGTGGGATGAACAATCGGCAGGATCACCTTTGTGCTTCCATGCGATCGCTAATTTACCCCCTTTATGCTCGGCAGCTTCTTGGCCAAAAAGGCAGGCCTTCATCATGATGGCGTAAGAGATTCTGGCCATCTCAGTCGCTTTATATCGACATAGCTCCGGTGGAATATCATCAAGGCCAGTGGCCTTGCCGATGGCAACACGATGGAAGGCCATTTCGAGATCCACAAGAGTAGGCAGCTCAGTGATCGAGACCATCAATTTCGGAATTTGGAGAAATTGTCTCAAATTAGCTATCCATTTTTCACGATAGTCTGTATGAGACATTCGGGTGCCTCCCTCCATAAGCTGGAAAAATTCAATCCACCTATTTTGGGCAGCATGTGGTGTCGGGCAAACCAGGCCATCTTTATCCTTAACGATGGGCAAGCAGGCCCGTTTGACTTTCTTCGGGTTGCTGGGACCAATATGAGGTCGAATCCGTTGAATGATCTCTCCAGCTGCAGTTTTGTCAGAAATGTCTTCAAGGTCACGTTGCAAGGCATGCTGTTTAGCTCGGCGGAGTCTTTGTTTCAATGCTCTGGCAATGCTGACATACTGACAGCGAAGTTTGAGCTCAGCACACAAGTTGGAAACAACATAATTGTGATGGAGGCTCCAGGTCTCTTCGTCGCTCTCTGTCCGTTGCCAATGGAGGAAAATGCAACGGAGCAAAAGCCTACGTTTGTGACCAGCCGCTTGTTGAAGTCTTTTCCTCAACTTTTGCTTCTCAATGCGACATTTCCAAAGCTCTTCATCAAAGAAAGGTTTCTTGGCAGTCCCTTTCTTGATTGGGCAAGATTTTTCAAGAATTTGCCCAAGCTGTTGGTTGATATTAGTCACTTGAGTTTCAATGTCAGCTGACCATGGAGCTACAGTGACATGCGACAGGTCAATGGCCTGTCTTTGTTCTCCAATCAAGTGCCTGTTATGTCGTGTGCGACGGTTTACGGGTTGGACCCTAGTCGCAACATTGTCTGACCATCGCATTTGGAGGGCAACTGCCGTGTGGTCCTCATGAGAATTACCAGTGTCAAGCTCTGGTAGGATGCATGAATACACACAACACGAACTCCATGTCTGAGGGACAGCAATAAAATCAATTCTATGTCGGGTTAGTCCATCAGGTGAAATCCACGTCGAAGTGGCGCCATCATGGATGGAGCTCGTGCATGGCAAGCACAATTCGTGTTGTTGCAGGAAGTACAAAAGGAAAGGCGTGCTGGCTGAAACCGCATCATCATTATCAAAGACCACAGGTGGGCGTCTTGGTCCACT